ATATAATATAATTAATTAGTAACATTGAAATTCAAAAACTCGGACTACCTATTGTTCATAATTATATGATCGTGCCAGCAGGTACACTGGTTGGTGCTTCTCTGGTTACATGCACAATTGTATATTTCTAATGGAAAAATGCGGCGTTTGGGTGAACTAATAATATGTTGAATGTATTTTGGATTCGCAAAAAGAGATTCATATTAAATTTTTGCACTGATTTTTTTTTTTTTTTTTTTTTATAGTCCTACTTTAGTCGGTACCTATAACAAACAAATGACTGAACAAGCAAGATAAGTACAAGCTTCGTTAAGAGTGCGATGAATATTTCATTGCATGTGTGCAATCAATGGAAGCATCGCATATTCTTTCCAACTAATGGGTTTCTTTTGATTGTTACATACTTTTAAATATAGATGATGTGCATAAAGTAAAATGGCGATTTCTGCAAAGTATAATAATACCTCGATCTGCTATTTGACAAATGGTGTTGATTGGGAAAGATGGGATGATCTAGTTAATTTATATGAAAGCGTTTTTACTTTTAATATGAGATATTTCGAAAGGTAGGTGACATTGGTTTGATTGACGATAATTCAATTATAAAATGCGGGATTTTAAAATTATACTGCATTTAGTTAAATGATACAATGTCACTTGGACAAGGGATTTTATCGAAAATTATACTCGCATCGTTTAGATGTAGTATTACAACCTTTCATTGGAACTCACCTCCAAAACTTTAAATAAGCTTTTGTATATTCCGCTGATATCCTTCGCGTTTAACCAACCAATCATTAAACAATGTATGCATTTACTTATTCATAAAGATTACTTCAAGTATAAGCACGTCGACGCGTGGTCAATGACCATTTAGAGAGAAAGGATTAATGCTCGTGATGTTTTAAACATTAATTTAATTTACATGTTAACTATTTCTTTCTTTCTTTCTTTCTTTTTAAATGATCAATTTTACTGGTGTTGTAAAGCTTCACCCAAATGTAAAATTAATTTAATGCTCGATCATAAGCTACAAATAACAGTCGATGTATAGTCATACGTGATATTTATTAATGTGTATAAATTATTAGAATATTGATATTGTGTTCCCTCTAGAATGTATATATAATCCGTATAATGCGGCAAATTTTTATTAGTTTGATGTATTTCTCGCTATTTTGAACAACAGCCACCCCCCAAAAAAAGGGAAGAAAAAAAAAAAAAAAATAGCAAAAATAAAATAAATTAAATAAATTAAATTCTTTCGTGTTCATATTTTTTTCGTTAATATCTTTAATTTGAAAGTTAATATAAAGCAATATTTCCCATGAGCTCAAATGTAGCTCCGTCTGAAAGTAATGGCGACAAAAGAGCTGGACCTTCAAATGTTGTTCCTGTACGGGACAAGAGACTGAAGACGATAGCATGTGATCGATGCAGACGTAGGAAGGTTCATATCGATATCATAAATTAACCATCATCTCTTTGCTAATTTTTTATTCCTTATCGTTAGGTGAAATGTGATGGCGATGGTTACAACAAATTACCTTGCAAATATTGCGCCTCAGTTGATTTAGAGTGTACCTACAATGGTCGTCAGCTTGGACGAGTTTCCAATGCAAACGATCATTCTTCGGCCACAAATGATAGATCAAACCAATCAACCAACGATCGTAACTCTCCTACTCGATCATCGCGATCCCCCACAACTGCATCAAATGTTCCGTCCATTAACAATACAAGCAATAGTGTTATGCTCCGCCAGAGAAAAACAATTTCTCGAAACAATAGAAGATCTTCTTTGTCTCTTTCCGCTCCCTCAAGAGTTATCCCGAAACCTTTACCCGCGTTTGACGATCGTGAATATATCATCAAGTTATTTACCCTGATGACTATGAATAATGAGGCTGAAGTTCGCCAAAAACTCATTAATTACTTACCTCCTCAGCAAGAGAAACCAATGTCTGAGCAGCGGCCGTCACTCGCGCAAAACACCGCGCCAGTGAATGATGTCCGATTGATCGAAACCCTGGTTGACCTTTACTTCAGGAACTTTCACCCACTATTTCCCATAGTACACAAATCATATTTCATGGAGAGCTTCAAGAATCCAACCAAGACTGTCCCACGTTTTTTACTATACGCCATGTGTACGATTGGTTCGAACTACCTTGATAACCGCTCTGCATGGATAGATCCGCACATTGGCTCGTCTTACTATTATCATGCGCAAGGTATTTGTGTGTAATACTCTGAATATAATATCCGAATAATATCCGAAAATTGTCCATTGAAACGAGGCGAAGTCATAGGTCAAATAGGAAAAGTGCGAACAAGACTAACCAAAAAGCGCATGCAATTACACAACACAGGTATGGTTGACCAATTCCTTGACAAAGCTACACTAAGCACCGCAACAGCTCTCCTCCTGTTAGGCATATTTGGATCTTTGAATTTCAAAGGCCGAGTTTTTGTTGGCATGGCCACCACTTTCGCTATCACGATGGGATTACACGATAAGAATGCATCCGAAAACTTTTCGGTCAACAAAAGGGAAGCAAGAAAAATGGTAATTTGATGCTTTTCTTTATCAATTAATCATTCATTTTTTTTCGTTTTTCGTTTTTTTTTTTTTGTTCATTTTTCTCGTGCTAAAATTTTTTTTTCCCTTTTGTCAAAGATATGGTGGGGAATTTCAATTGTTAACCGTTTGGAATGTATGGCTTTGAATCGTCCGCTCTTACTTGAGGAGAAGCATTGCACCGTCGATTATCCCGACCCAAATTTATGCGATGAATCAGAATCGAAAATCATTGGGTATTTCGTGCAATACTCAATAATCACAAGGATCATGTATGATATCTTGGAAATCTCCATGGTGGACGACCAAGGCTCGGACTTTTCCGTTTCGCACCTGGAGGGACGACTTGACGAATGGAAGCGCAACCTTCCTTCATTCTTGAACATCGAGGATGCCAAACCTTTGACGATAACTCCAGATGAAACGACCGTTGAACACTTGAGAATCTATTTATGTATTCTTTATAATTATACGTTAATAAGAATCCATCATCCAAAGATCTTGTCTAATAATAGTTTGGAGGCTTGTACACAGGCTGCAAACAACATCACGACCCTCGTGAATGAAAATTTTGTCAGCCTTATTAATAGTAATCAGTTCGTGATCTATTGTACTTTATGCGCGGGGTGTATTCATGCTTTTAATCTCAAAAGTTCACAACATTCGGTCAACGCCAAGAATAGCATTTTTCAAATAGTCGAAGTGTTTAAAAGTGTACTCTCCATATCATCATTGCATAATATACATTATGGAATAAAAAACCTTGTTGTACTGTTTGCTTTGCAACTTGAAGAGGCAGCATCGGGTTCCGATGAACAAACCATGCAAGTTGTTAAAGATGCGTTGAATGTAGTTACCGGAAACACGAGGATATCAGAGAACCACAGCATTTCAACAGTTGTAGAAGTTCGACATAACGGTGTTGGGGACGATATTGGTAATATTATCAGTAACAAGGGTATCCTGGGTCATTCGTCTTCTCAGCCAGGTATTAATAATATATTGGCGCAAACGGCTACCGCGGGTTCAACGACAGGTTTGCCGCGAATACATCAACAGAGTCAACCTGTTTTCTCTTCCTCGCCAACATCTTTATCACCATTAGGTCTTCCACCGGTGAATTCTGGTAAAATGGAAGCCAACAATAATAACAACCTTCTTGGAAATTCATCATTGATATCAGACAACTATACATCATCGCAATATGGTCAGCACCCACAGAATAGTCCGAATCATTCTTCACAGACGAGATCGAATGGTGACAACTCGTCGAGTATGAACAATTCTTATTATTATTGGACGCAGCATAGTAACCAACTGCAACCGATTCAACCGCAAAATCATCAGGCGTCCTCCCATAATGCATTGATGTCACCTACCTCAGAAACGTCAACACTTTTGGTACTGGGTAACTCCCAAGGTTCATCTGCAGCGTCGATGAATATTGGAAGGACCGCGACGCCTTCAATGACCATGACGCCTACTTCATCGTCATTACCACCATTGATAAATACCACAACTTCAGCCTCGACATCAATATATTTGCCATTTCCTCAATATTCACCCGCTCAGCAACCATCGCAAACTCCACATCCATCTCAACCAAGACAATACTACCTGACCCCCAGTAATCCGAATCCTCCTAGAAATTATGTTGCGGGACCGGAAATACAAGATGGATTGTCTTCGATGACGGGAATGACTTCGATCAACGGAGTGAGTAACGGTGGTGCTCCTACCCTGATCTCACTACTTGACAATCAGAGGAACAATCAATCAAATGAAATTGGTCGAAAGTCACCAACGCAATTCCATTGGTATCAAACCTAAACCCCCCTTTTTTTCTATACATTACCGAAAAACAAAAAAAATGGCAAATATATATATATGTATATGTATAATATAATATTAATTCGCGCATATTGGCTTAAAATCTACCAATCAAAAAAGAAAAAAAAAAGGAACTTTTTTTTTATAATCAAGATTCAAAGGTAAGTTCGCTGCGTACGTACGAGTGTCGAAAGTACAGTCTGTCGTTTGTACAGTGTTAACCCTATTTCCAAATTCACAGGGTTTTCATTGTGCGGAAAAATTTATGAAAACACTGAATCTTGCGTAAAACACAATTTTTATTTAATAATACGAAAAAAAAAAAAAAAAAATGAAATGGTGTTTGGCAAAAATCAGATCCTTATGCTTATTAATCTAATTCATGTTTTTTCAAAACAATACACTATACAGATAATATATTTTCATTGTAATATTTAATATCTACCTGATACACATGAGGATGTGCAAAACAAACATTCCATTTTTTCCAAAGGGGTTTTTCATTGATGAGGTAAGAAAAAAAACGGTTTTCACTCTTCCCGTAAATGTGTTCATTCACGATTTGATTTAATGGTCATCATCATTTACATCATCATTTATTCACTCATCCTAGACAATATTGTATCACTACCCCTTCGATGGTGACCTCACGCCACACATAACCTCTATGAATCTTTAAAGTATGGATAATCGATTAGGTTTTCCCCCCCTAAGGATTTCTCTTTCCTTTCCTTTACTTTCTAAATGTTTAATTCTTATATAAATACTAAGGTTTTCTAATGACAAATGTAAATTCCGTTCGTACTAATATGTCTATGATGTAAATTTAACAATGCTATTATATAATTTATTATTGCTGTTTTTTTTTTTTTTCTTTCTCCTTTCTTCGTTCTATTTCGTTTTCGTTTCCTTAATATGATCTTTCTCAAAAAAGTAGTTAATCAATAATTCTTGCATGATTTCCTTTAGTCATAATAATAAATAATAAAAAAAATCACAATTTTTCAATGTACGCAAATGGGTCGGGTTGGTCTCACAAAATATTTGACAATGCGGACGTTACGTAAAGCTAACACCATGATGCGTGAGAATGTGGGGTTTGTGCTTTTTTTTTTTTTAAAAAAAAAAAAACCCCCCAGGTCCAATCAACTTATCGGAGAAATGATTTTATGAATGAATACGAGAAAGGTGAATTGAATTACGATTTATTTTTTTTTAATAAGGTTTTGTACAACGGATTATCTGTGTTTATTGTTTTTTGCACAATGATTGTTTTTGAAATCGGAATAATGGTTCAATGGAAATCTGTGGATGCATTGAAGCCTAGAACCAAGGGTCTTTGGATGGAGCCTGTTGACAGATTTGAAAAAAATCCTGTTAGTCGATTTGTGTTATGAAATTATCGGACATACATGAATTGTGTCCGCATCGTGAGAATTCCATTACACTTCTCGCAAAGATTTTCGAATATGCCACACATGCATTTGTACGGAAGCATAATAGCACTTTTTCACGAGTGACGACATAGCACAATATGACGTTCAACGCGTTCCGCGATACCCGGTATTTGTTGAATAAAAGACAATGTGCAATTGGATTGTTGTTAGAGTGCAACCAAATATATATTTATTTGTCAAAGTAATTGATCGTCACTGTGATCTTCAATTTACATAAATGAAATCGTTTTCCACACCTTAATGACAAGACAAGAAAGGCGAATAATAATGGGATTAACATGCGTGGTAATCTTGAGATCTCAGCGTCAATCCTAATATCAATGACCGGTCGCAGTTCAATAATCAGAACGTTGACTTCGAATTTTTCGCCGTTACATAGTTTCACCGAACACAAGCGCTAAGACAGTTAAAATTTTTGAACAGCTGACCATGTTCTCTACGCAGAAACACGTAAGACCATGACACGAAAAACCTACAAACGCACTGGTCAAAAACTTTCAAGATCGAGATAGGCGTAGTCGCCACACTCGCGGACCTTGAGAAACCTTAGGTAGCTCAACATCACTCACACACATTTCATTGAACGCAAATAATATCGGAAATTTCATGCCTTTGGAAAACGGACTGAACAATCTATTCCATTGTTCTATTTCCGATGTCGTAATGCATATATTTCGCCGTGGACGTATGGCAAAATATAAATGAACATTGTACGCTATGCATCATTGGTGACTTTCCATGAAACACATCTCAGGAAAATTCCGAGGGAACGTTCTATTTTCTTTTCTTTTATTAGTTATTATATTATCCGTGTTTCTCAGATCACCCCCGAATTTCGAATTTTGGTGGTTTCAAAAGGTCTCGCACTTACAAACAGTTACGAAATGTGAAATTTAATTTTTACACCATCTCCGGTTTTTTATTTTAAATAAAAGAAAAAAAGTTTTTCCGAAATTTCTCATTGGGAAATATATGGTGACATATTTAATATTTTCCCCAAATTAGCCCCTGTCGATCTTGCCCAAATAATGCATTAACTACCATTGTGTCAATCGGAGATATTGTTACACCACACCACGGATGACACAATCTTTTTCGTCATAAATGGTTAACTCCGGCTATTAATCACATGATTGTTTAAAAATGGACTTTTTGTTTTTGCTTATATCATCAATAAGTAGAGAATACACAGTGTTTTTGGCAAAAGGACGAGAGAAAGTGATTCCGTACCTAAAAGAGAAGGATGTTTGATGTTTCGACCATTCTTCGAACCATTTTTTCCGGTAAATTAATCACGTGACATGTTACCTAAAAAAGACGGAGAAAGATAGAATTCGCATACATGCAATGCAACAATAACCGACAAATTAAAATTACGTCTTATGATTGTTGTAGACGGTCATTATTTTTGTCGTCACTAGCCTAAAAAACACAAACATAAATGTTGTCGAGTGGAAAGCAATCATGATGCGCACATCGAGTTTGAACGGAACTTCGATACTCACATAAATCATCTTCCTTTGACCAAGGCACGCACGTTTCTTTGCATTGCACGCGGTGCAAAAAAAAAAAAACGAGTTCACTTTTCCCAGTCAAGCAAGCATAACCCTAAACAAATTCGCACGGCACGCCGTTCGTGACTCATAATTTGCACAAATCTTCGTCCATGACAAATATTCTCATGTGACCGAAATAAATAAATAAATAAATAGACAAGCCAAGTAATGCCGTATCAAATGGAATGCATCTTTTTACGTCCAGATAATTGATGACTTAATTTCAAGACAATTTGTGTGAGAACACAACCAAGTGTTTGTGTATGTGTGCATGATACGGTTTTTTGGTCCCTGCATAACGAGTCTCCCCACTTTTTTACGATCATTAAAGGGCGTCAAATTATCTACCACCACTTGCACCACACAGTATTTTTAAAGAATGTCCCACGAGCTCGTGATTATGACCCGTAAAGTCAAGAGATTGGTACTTTGTGGGGGTGGGATCTGACAAAGACGACGATAGAAACATGCAACCGTAGTGTATGACCAATGATCATTTATCGAGAAACAGGTAAAATTTCTGCGGGAACACTAAAAACTTTGTGTAAATTGTCCATTGAGAAAGGGTTACACGTAAATTTTGCTTCGACAAATTGAGCAACATCGATTACCATTGTTAATTACAGTATTACTGTCTGCAGATTTTCTGATTCAACAACAAATAAAAAGATTAGTACACAGTGAAGTAACCCGACTTTGAAAAAGAAAAAAAAAGGTCAGTCTTAACTCTAAATTAAGATCACATGCATAAATATAATTTGGTTTGTGATAGAATCATTATCCAGAATCTAGTATCAAGAATTCCAGATCTCCACAGTCATTTGTTTTCACTGGCCGAACGATTGGTTTCGAGCAGCAACGATCTACCGTAATTTCTCAATGCTCGCGGACCAATGCGGGACATCCGGTTACTCAACAACTTGTACGGAATTAAAAAGTAGATAGGTTAAATGGATGCGCATTTTCAAGCGACCTTCAACATAATGCACAGCCGAATGATGTAATAATACAGTACCAAATAAGTAGGAATAATCATAAGATAATAATAAAACCAACAATAACAACAATAATAATCGTAATTTTATTTGTCAAATGACATCGGTGTAAAATGAACCGGGAGGACGCAGGACTCGTGTAGATTGATTGCTATGTTGTAGTCGCAGTTTTTTAAAGTAAAAAGGTGGATTCTGATCGTTTCTTCCTTGTGACCAATTATTTATTCGATTCCCCTTGTTTACCTTTTCTGGTAAAGTGATGTTTCTTATTAGTAAAAAAGAATGTCAGCGTATCATGGAGATGCGAGAATCTCCTTTTTAGGCTGCTTCTTATCGCAAAATGGTCTTTTCATATTCGTTGCTGAAAGGCGTCTTCTAAAAAAAAAAAAAAAAAAACTTGTGTAAATCCGGATCACGTCCAAACATGAACAAGTGACTGAACACAACCTTTACATAACGAACGTTCGCCATTCATTCTACATCGAACTATTTTTTCTCTTCTTGGAGGATTTCGCGGGTTAAACCATTTTTACTGCTTGTTCCATGAACTGTACCCAACCATATGCGTAGATAGGTGGTGGGTGACGACGAGTAGGTTGATTGATGAACAGACGATGTAACTTAATCTATATGCGTCAGTCACCGATAAACCCGATTCGCTTGATCAAATCATTTAGTTATAGGATCACAAATTCTCATTAGTGTTCCGTTCCGCCAAGTAGGGAACAATATTTAATGACTCTGTGGTATTGTTGATTTTCTTTTTATTTTTCTGGCACGCGTAAACTTTGGCACTTTATTTTATCGTTAGTTATTTCTTTTTTTAGGATCTGTTTTCTCAAAAACTTTCAATCACGAGGATTGTGACAGTTACAATGATCACGGTGGTCACATTAATCCACTCGGACTTTGAAAATTACCAAAATTAGTTACGTCATTCTTTGTCCGTGATTTTTCATTTGTTCTCTGTCGTATAATTATTTTTAATTGCG